GAGGGGCGCCGCTGGGGCGCCCTGCGGGAGCCGGCAACCTTCTCGCAGAGCCCGTCCCGTGGCGAGACATGTACACAACCTCACCACGCACATGCACCCACGCGCAAACACGCACACACACACACACACACACACACACACACACACACACACACACACACACACACACGCGCGCGCGCGCGCGCTCGCGCATACACACACACACACACTCACACACGTGTCCCCTCTGCTTCACCCTCACCCTCCCTCTCTGCACGTGCAATAACACGCTCTCTCCCTCTCTCTACACACCGCGCAGGTGTCAAGGTAGCCGGCACATTAGACTCCCTGACATCAGACCTGGAAAGCTTCGTGGGATCCCTGCCTGCGCCGCCCATCGTCATCGCTCACAGCTTTGCCGGCCTCATCCTGCAAAAGTGGGCGGCCCCCCATTTGTGGCGCTATGTTGCTATGTCCCGCTGCCCGCAACAACCTGATTTGGCACGTCACACCTGCGCTCACCCCGTCCCGCTGCCCGCAACAGCCTGATATGGCACGTCACACCTGCGCTCACCCCGTCCGTGTGTGCCTCGCGGTACTGCACCCTGTTCTGGCTCTAACCCCGCCCCGCCCTGCCCCATCGCATCCCCCAAAGGTATCTGCTGACGTCAGCGCTGCCGCCGCTGGCGGGCGCCGCCTTCCTGTGCAGCGTGCCGCCCTCTGGCAACAAGGAGCTCGTGGGGCGCTTCATGAAGCGCGACCTGATGCTGTCCATGCGCATCACGTGGTGAGGGCAGGGTGACCTGATCTGATAGAGATCTGATTATTTGAGAAAAATTATCAGATCTCGTTGCAACCTTGTCAACGGCAGGACCTCAACACTCAGTCATCACAGGTTGCACTGGGCTTCGAGGATGGCGTGGTTGCCAACAACTCATCAGCTGCTCTGCCTTGGCTGGAGACTCGGATCAACCAGCGCTGCCCCCGCGCGGCGCCCGCCCGCCTGCCCACAGGGCGTTTGTGGCAAAGTCTTTTGCGACGAGCCTGGACGCCTGCCGGGAGGCCTTCTTCTCGCCCGAGCTGCCAGAGGCCGACCTCAAGAGGTGACTCAGCTCATTTCGGAGGCCCACGTGCGGGCGCGCGCTTGCTTCTGCAGGGAGAAGAGCACACGTGGCCTTCTACAGCAGATACTGCGCGCGGTCTGCATTGTCGCCCTGGTTTCCAGCCCCCTCACGGGCGCATCCACCCCCCGTTGAAACACTCACACCTGCGTGCGCGCACGCTTTTGTTTACACTCCTCTGAACACCAACCACAGGTACCAGGCCCAGCTGGCGGCAGGCAGCCCTGTGCGCCTCCTCGACCTGCAAGACATGAACAAGCAGGTGAGCCGGCCTGTGAGCGCGCCCTGGGCGCAAGCACTGAGTCTTCCAGGGACTCTTGCATGCGGGTTCAATGCACGCGGGTCCAATGCATGTGCACCCCACATCGCATGCGTGCATGCATGCGCTGCTTGCGTGCATGCACGCGTACGTGAGTGGTGCATACATGCAAGCACGCATGCGTGCATGGTGCGTGCGTGTCTGTGCTGCATGCGAGGTGTGTGCATGCGTTTGTTGCATGCAGTGCGCACAGCAAGCATGCATGCATCAAACACGCTCCTTGACCTTAGGCCTAATTGCACAAGACCACCCCTGTCAATTATGTAGAACGAGGCCGTGGCCACCTTGGCGGCGCCAACTTCCCGAAAACACCTGCACCCTTGCTTATCACCATCAAAGGTACCGCTCCCCCGGCCGCCGCCGCCGGCGAACGGCGCCGCGCCATTGCCAAGATTTGTTCTGGGCGGGGAGGGCGACAACGTGGTGGACATCGAGGTGGGAGGGCGGCGTTGTTGAGGCTCTCTATGAGACGCGGTGTTTGTTGGTGTTGCCGCTGCTGCGCCGACAAGCACCTGCAAGATCCTGCCTCGCCGCCAGTGCGGCAGCAGCTGCAAGCGCGACGGGGCGTCCTGCTGGTGGCCACAACGGCTGTGGGTGCTTGCGTGCGCCTCGGAGCATGCAGCGCCCATTTACGGCAATTTACAAGTTACATGGCATTTTTTGACCTCCTCTTTATCGTTCACCCTCGTTCTTGCTGGCTGCTGATGTGCTTCCCCTCAAATCCGCGCGGTCGCAGGCTGTCCAGGAGCTTGCGCAGTACTGCGGGGTGCAGCCGGTGGTGGTCTCGGGCCTGGCGCATGACTGCATGCTCGACGTCAGATGGGAGGAAGCTGCGCGGCAGCTGCGCGCCTGGGCAGACGCCGCCGCCGCGTGATGCCGGCCGTGCCCGCCAACGACCCGGGCGTCTGGCCTCACTCCGCTCGCTTGCCGGCTCGCCAGTCTGTCCATTGCACGCGTGTCCGGCGGCCGCGTGGCTGCCTGAGCCGCGACATCCATGCCTGCCGTTTGCTGTCCCCCCAGTGCTGCGACGGCGAGCGCGACCCCGCCAGACGCCATGACCATCTCACAGGCAGGCAGGCCGAGGTTCCACGCCTCGGAGCCATGTATCCAATGGCGTTGTTACATTGCGGCAAGATCAGCGATACCAAGACCCTGGGGAGAGCCGACATATAAACGAGTCAGCAGGGGCAGGGGAGGGGTCACCTGCAGGGCCCAGTGGCGCGGGCGTTTGCAGCAATCTGGGTTTGGGGTTTCGAAGTGCAAACGGGCGCATGCCTGTGAGCGCTGCGGGGCAGGGGCGGCGGGGTGCGTCCCGTGTGCTTGGCTGTGGCAACTGCGACTGCGGCAGGTCGGTGGCCCGCAGCACGTCGCAAGGGGGATGCGGCGCGCCTGCTCGGCGGCAGCAATCAAGCAGCCCAAGTCACCTGCATAAATGTTTCAAAACATGTGGTGCAAGTGCAGCCAAAGAATGGATATGAGTATAATAGGCAGTGTGCAGTTCCGATCACAGAGTGCCGGCGCAGTGGGCATATGTATAGGACGCGCCGGGCGTGTGTCGTGCTGCCAGGTGGCGGCTGCTGAGCGCTGCGTGGGCCTCAGGACTCAAGCTGCGGCAGCCGCGGCGGCGGCGCCCTGGGCTGGCTCAATCGCTTCGCAGATGACAGCGACGCGTCCCGGGGTTGGCAGCAGCACGGGCGGCCGTGGCGGCAGCGCAAGCCACGCAGACCCACAGTCGAGTAAGATGCGCGGCCCGACGCGCAGGCCCCAGCTGCACACGCTCAATCACTCCAGGCGCAGCGCGGCCCGCCTCGTTCCACGACGGGCCAGAGCTGTCGCTGGAGCCGGGGCGGCCTGCAACCGCTCGCTTGCCAGCACGCACGTGCACTCCACGCGTGCAAGCAACCCAACAACAGCAGGCGGCCCGCATTGGAATGAGCGAGAGGGGTCAAAAATTGCAGACCAAAGTGATATCTTGCGCCGTGCTCGTGTTTGTCGTCGGCGGCCGGCCATGCGCAGTGCTGCCGCCGCAGCAAATTGCGCATAAGTTTCAGGGATGAGAGGGCGACGGCCGGTACGGCTGAAAAGGACAAGGGCGCGCGTACTCGCGCAGCCCAGTGCCTCTTTTCGGCTTTGTGGGTCAGATCAAGATCACTGCAGTGCAGTGGCGCTGGGGCTCTGGGCCGCACGGCGCAACGGGACGCACGGCGCGCGCCATACCCTCCACCCTTGGCAGGCGCGAGCCCTGTTGCATAGCCGTGCTCGCAGGCATGGGGCGCGTCAAAACCCGCGTCCGCGCAGATTGTGCGTGTCAGCAGTGCGTGAGCGCCCGGCAAAAGTCAAAGGTCAGTCGAAGACCTGCTGCCAGGCCGCCACAGAGTTTGTGCCCCGGGCGCCCGTGTGCCGTGCTGCCGCCGGCGCGCCGCCGCGGCTGCAGCACGCGTGGGCGGGGCGGCTGCAAGCTGCCGCGCCGCTCCGGCCCAGCGCGACACAGAGAAGGGGCTGCCCCCTCGGGCACGCGCTCCTCTTCAAAAAAGCCAAGCAGGCACCGCGCCAACGCGCGGCTCCAACATCGAGCAGCACCGTCACCAGCGGACACCCCGCCCCTCAGGCGCCGCCCCCGCCCCCGGGCCCGCCCCCGGCCCCGCCGCCGCCGGCCGACGCGTCCGGCGGCTCCAGCTCAGCCAGCAGCGCCTCCAGTCTGTCCGTGATTTGTGTGAAGTCGGGGCGGCTGGCCTGGGCGGTGGCCCAGCAGGCCTCGGCGAGCTGCACGTAGGCCGGCGGGGAGGCGCTGGGGAAGCGGGGCCGCATGTCCATCTTGGCGACGCGCTCTATGACGGCCTCCTTGTGCAGGCCGGTGTAAGCGCGCTTGCTGCGCGCGCGCGCGTGAGTATGTGTGTGTGTGTGTGAGTGCGAGCTCGTGTGGATGTGTGATTGTAGGTGTGTGAGTGTGTGTACGCTTGTGCATGTCGAGGAGTAATGGGGTCCAAGCAGGTTGCACGTGTTCATGAGGGGGTAGGTGGGGTGCGTGCTCGCATCAGACGCGTGCGCAGGGTGGGTTGCTCAGAAAGCATGCAGGCTGATCCGCTGCGTTTGATGGGGGGATGGTGCTGCTGCGGGGTGTCCGCCTTATGGCCTGCCGAGCGGACCCCGCATAAACCGGTTCGATCTGACCACAAGCACGAGCGCGGTGTCGTGTGCACCCCCAAGCCCCAAGCGCACAGCCAGCCCCGCGCCCCTCCTCATGCCCAGCAGCCCGCGGCCCCGTGTCCTGCCTGCCTGCCTCTGCCGGCATCCAGCCACGCCACGCACCCCAGGACCCTGCCGCGTGCGCCTCAACCCAGTAGCCTCGCACGACCCCCGAGCCCCGGCGCGGGCCCAGACCCAGGACCTTCACACGCCCCTGTGGCCCCTTGGGGCCCCCAAGCCCTGGGCCCACCTGGTGTACGTCTCCCACATGAGGATGCCGAAGGCATAGCTGTCCACCGCCTTGGTGACCTTGCTGCCGGCCTTGAACATCTCTGGCGCCAGGTGCGTCACGGTGCCGGCGCCGGTGAGGTTGACGGTGTGGTCGGCCTCGTTCAGGATCTTGGTCAGCCCAAAGTCCGCCAGCTGGCGGGCGGGGAGACGGGGAGGGGCAGGGAAGGGGTGCATGGGGTTTGAGGGGCGCCGTTGCTTGGCAAAGGGGCTCTCGAGCGGAGGCGACGGCGGCCTTGACAGGGGTGAGCTGGCGTGGGGCTGGGCAAGGCGGGCAAACGAGGCTGGATGGGGCGGGACCCGACGGTACGGGGCAGGCTGTTGGGGGCTTTGGTGTTGAGCGGCGCGATTGTGCTGCATTTGCACAGATGGCAGCCCAGGGCTGACCTTCGGAATGAAGCCCAGGCTGCGGCCGTGGTCGCTTTTGAGCAGGATGTTCTCCATCTGGAGCAATCAAGGGTGCGGCAGTTGGCGGCGATAGGGGCGTCGGCCGAGTGGGAGGGGAAGGCTGGCGACAGGGTGCTTGAGAGGCCGTGATCGGCTCGGAATTTATTGGACAACTGGCAGAGGCTTGTTAGGTGTGCCCAGGGTGACGCAAACGAAAGGATGCGCAGCAGCTTGCTGCGACCCGATGCACGGGCAAATCTGTGGTCGAGTTGCGATTGCGCTGTCAACGAGCACCTGCAGCTGCACGTGAGCCGGCCAGCGACGCTGTCGCTGCTGCTGTCGATGCAACACAAGCACCACCAGCACCAGCAGCTGCAGCAGCAGCAGCAGCTGCAGCGGTAGCGGTAGCGGTAGCAGCAGCGCAGCCGGCTGCCCGCACCTTGATGTCCCCGTGCACCAGCTGCATCGAGTGGAGGTACTGCAGCGCGTAAGCCACGTCAAGCAGCACCTCCACCGCCGCCGCCAGCCGCACGCCGATGGCGCCGTTGGGCAGGGCCTGGTGGAACACGCGCGCCTTGACCGCATCCCTGAGGGTGCCCTTGTCGCAGTACTGCGCGCGTTTTGGGGGTCGGGGCACGGTGGGGGCGTGAGGGACGTGGGGGACGGTGGGGAGCGAGGGGGACGTGAGGGATGTGGGGGACGGAAGGGCATGGGGCATGTGAGGGCCGAAGGGATGTGGGGAGCATGGGGGGCGTGGGGGCGTGTCCCGCACACATGTGAGGTGTGCGTGCGTGTGCTGTCTACTCATGAAGACGTATGCGGGTGGGGATGGGAGGAGAGGCCGAGGGGACTCATGCTCGCGTGAATGTGAGGGAAAATGCGAGCATGCACATTACCAAAAGAGGTTTCTACGCGCCGCCACATGTGCCAGCGCCCCCGGACACACCCCCTTGGTGATGCACCAGGTCTGTCCCCTGATCATACGTCCTCAAGACCCCCAGCATCAGCCGTGCGTCACGCGACTGACCTCCATGACTACGATGTTGTAGGTGGCCAGCTCCCCCTCAGGGTCCTCGTCAGCGCGCAGCCGCCGGTACTTGGTTCGCATCTCACCGCTGGCGCTGGTGCTCTGGCTCGCGCTCGTCTCTGCGGATTGGGCGATGTGGGTGATTGGCGATTATTTGAGTGGCTCGAGAAGTAAGATAATTCAATGGGTGGGCGAGATGCGAAATGGGCTCCCCGGTTGGTGAGGGAGCGAGCTGGGGGTTGTGATTGCCAAATGGGGTGAGGAGGGGCAAAGGCATCGCCCGAGGCGCGTGCGGGCGCCCGGCCGCCGCCTTCACCTGCGGTCTCGACCATGTCTGTGAGGCAGGAGTAGACGGTGACGATGTTGGGGTGCTGCACACTGGACAGCACCGCCATCTCCACCGCGTCCTGCATCGCCTGGTGGGGAGCAGAAAAGCAGACGTAGCCGGTCGCGCTGGTTTATGATTGAGGGCTGGGCGTGTTGCGACGCGTCGGGATCAGACCATTGACAAACATGACTAGCTGACACACTCGGTCGATCAGCCAACAGCATCCGCTGATCGGCCATGACCGTACAGGCCCCCTCGCCACGAGGGCGGTGGCAGCGCCATACTGCGGCTGCAGCCGCGCGAGGGCGCGACAGGTTGGAGCGGGCAACCCAAGGTGTGGCGCTGAGCGCGTTGAGCACGCAATGTGGTGGCACGCACCTCGCGCTCGTTGTTCCGAGCAGGCATCACCTGCGTGCGTGAGGGAGGAAGCGGAGGGTTGCGTGTGAGGGAACGAAAGGCTAGTTGACGCGACGAGGAGCCCGTCAGAAGCCAAGGACTGCGCCCGCCGCACAGCACAGGCAAGTGTGTTTCCACAGAGCTGCAAGCGTGACCTGGTGCCGCCGGTCAATCACGCAAGCTGGGCCCATGGGGCCGCGCGTGAATCAGGCACTGCGCTTGCCTTGGCCGCCACCGGGACCTTGTGCCACCAGCCCCTGTACACGATGCCAAACCCTTGAGGAGGAAGAGGGGGGGAGGCAGGCAGCCGACGGCCACGGCATCAGCCTTTCATTACATTTCATTTGCAATCTGCCCCATCGAACACGTGCTGCCGCTCTGCCTCCGGCCCGGGCACAGCAGCCGCAACGCCGTGCCGCCGTGCTCCGCCCGAGACGGCAAAATGCATGCGCACTTCCCCTTTCCGACAACAACCGCGGAGCAGTAGGATGCAGGGGACATGTGCCCCCACCTCCGCGGCCGAGGCACTCCCGGACTGTGAGCTCCGGCGCGGTCTGGCTGCTGTGGCGGCCCTTCGCCCGGATGTCCTGCTGCAGAACCTGCGCCGCTCGCGCATTGGAGGTTGGGTCGGGCAATCATGAGTCCACTGCCTGCGACAAGGGCAGCCATTGAGCAGCCACGCAGAAGCTGCTCTTGCCCCAGTATCCGCTGGGCGCGTGCAGCTGGCGGTACCGGGGAGTGCCCTTCCCCCAACACCCGCGCCACACCACTCCGTACAGCATTTCAGTCTACATGCCATATCTAAGCCACACACGACTCTTCCCAACCTCCCGCCGCGCGTCACGCCTGGGCGAGCGCCGCGCCCCGCGCACCGCCTGACAAGTTGTATGCTCTTGCCAAGGCCAGCCAAAACTCAGTCCGTCGCGCCTCCTCCCACCCACCTGAAGCATAGCCTCAGTGTTGACCTTGACGCCGCTGGCAATGCGCGGCATGCGCCCGGACCTGGTCGGCTGCGGGTGGCCGTCGTCATCCTGCACGGCTGATGATGACGTGGAGAGCGAACTTCTCACGTAGTAGTTGTGATGTCACCGTCCGGCAGCGTTGCCAATGTCATTTGGAGGAGGGGAGGGAGGGCCGAGCAGTGCGCTTGTCAGCCGATTGTGCACAAGGACAGCACGCTGTGGCGGGGGCTGCGAGGCATGTCCTGGCTTTGATGCAGCGCGGCAAGAGGAAACTGCCCAAAAGCAGCGGGGCCGCGCAGGCGTGCACAAGGGTGTTCACCTGCTCTCCTGCATGGCCTGCGGCCGCAGCTTTTGGGGCTGCGGTGCTTCAACGCTGAAAGACACTGACAGGGGCCCTGACTTTTGGGTCTGATTCAGGTGGTGGTTGGGGAGGAAGGAGCGATGGCGGTTTCGGGGTCACGGCAGCCGCAGAGGGCTCGCGGGACGCGGGGTGGGGGCACCGCCGGCCGGCTTATGCGGGCACCCCCATCTCTCGCGCCGCGTCCACGCCTGATCCGGCGCGAGCCTCGTCACAACCAATGCGGCCGTGCGGAGGGCCCCAGGTCAGCGGTGACCCGTGCGCGCCAACTTCGCACCCACCTTGGTGACCATGCCTGCCAGGCTGTCCACCTGGTGACGCAGCTTGTTGTACAGCATGGGCGTCACCCCATGAATGAAGCCCTGCGGGGTTACACAGGGTTGCGTCAGGGACGAGTGGTGTGAACCCAAGGAAGGAAAGGGGAGTGCTGGCATGAAGCACAGCGCAGAACACGTGACGGCGCGAAATTGCAACGGTAACGGATGTTTCGCACGGCCAGGGCTAGGGCTCTGGCAGAAGGAGGCCTCCTCGGCACGCGGGTACGGTGTACACCCCCTTGCGTGACGGATGCACACGCAGGGGCACACACACCCACAGGTTGCGGGACTGCATGCACACGCGAGGGCACCCTAGGCGAAATTCGCTGGCAGGTTCTTGTGCGTGAGTCGGCGCCATGAAACCTTTAAAAGGCACGAATGCCCCCAGCCGCACCAGCAGCGTGTCCTGGATGTTGACGAATTCGCAGGGGGTGTCGAGGGCGAAGTAGAGGCCGCCCAGCGGCGGCTCGTCGCCGGCGACCAGCGGCACCACCACCACCGACGACACCAGCCGCGAGGAGCGCGTGAAGATGTCGCGCGCGGGAGCGCCGCATGCCTGCACGGTTTGCAAGCGGGGGGCGGTGATGGGTGCGCATACGCGCGCGTGCGTGCGTGTGTGTGTGTGTGTGTGTGTGTGTGTGTGTGTGTGTGTGTGTGTGTGTGTGTGTGTGTGTGTGTGTGTGTGTGTGTGTG